ACTGCCAGAATATTTACAGGTAGCCACCCACTTCAGATGGTAATGTTTCAACAATTCACATTTAATCTTAGCTTTGGAATTTCAAACACATTTCTTCCTGAAAAAAATTTACAGATGGTAACATAAATGTGCAAGGCTACTCTTTAAAGACCCATTTAACCTATCTTGTAGCTGAAATACTACACATTTGTGATGGAAAATATTAGGAAAGTCACATTTAGATGCACATTAGTTCCACTACATGGTGTTTACATAGGATTTGGGGGGAACAGTTTGGACTCCTACTAAACACCTTTGTGCATGGTGAGAGGGTAAATAATGATGCATTGGAAATACACCTGGAGGAAGCCCATCCCCATCTACGTGGCAGGGACCAGCCACCAGTATGGGAGACATTCTGAAGTCAAGTATTTGTGTATCAGGAGTCTCATATGCCCATATGAGTTACAGAAATAATCTTGAGTGAGGGAGTGAAAAGTTTTATGTTTTGAAATTTCCTAAGCACATATTAATGTTCCAAAATGCTTTTTTGATGCATTTACAGATAACATAGTCACATATTATTTTTGTGTTTGTTCCCCCCCCCTTTGTATATATTTTATCTTTTTTTATTAGTTTCAGGTGTACAAAACATAATTAAGACATTTACACCCCTCACTCATAAAGTGATAACCCCACCAAGTCTACTACCCCGCTGACATTGTACATAGCTGTTAACAATACCATTGACTCTATTCCCTATGCTGTACTTTACATCCTGTGACTATATATATACATATATATATTTAATTATAGTTGATTCAATATTTTATATTAGTTTCAGGTGTATAGCGCAGTGGTTAGGATTTATATAATCTACAGTATTGAGTGATCCCCCCAATAAGTCTACCCATCTGACATCCTACATAGCCTTTACAACACTGACTATATTCCCCATACTGTATTTCACATCCCCGCGACTATTTTGTAACTACCAATTTGTACTTCCCAGTTCCTTCACCTTTCTCACCCATCCCCCAGCCCCCTCCCATCTGGCAACCATCAGTTTGTTTTTTGTACCTATCAGCCTTATTTCTGCTTTGTTCGTTTATTCTGTTCCTTAGATTACACATACAAGTGAGATCATATATTTGTCTTTCTCTGACTGACTTGTCTTTTTCTGACTTATTTTACTTAGAATAATACCCTCTAGGTTCATCCATGTTGTTGCAAATGGTAAGATTTTATTCTTTTTATGGCAGAGTAATCCTCGTGGGTTTCTTTGAATAAATTCCCAGGAGTGGAATTGCTGGGTCATAAGGTAGTTCTATTTTTAATTTTTTGAGGAACCTCCATACTGTTTTCCATAGTGGCTGCACCAATTTGCAATCCCACAAACAGTGCACGAGGGTTCCCTTTTTTAAAAAATCTTTGTGTGTTTGGTTTTATTCGTAAAATTATTGATTCTCCTTAGTTTTCAATGAAAGGAATTTAATTCACTTAAAAAAAGGTACTATAACATTAATAGTTAAAACAGATTTAACTGTAGAATTGTTCTATTTTTAATACTTTACCGGACATAATTTATTTTTATTTTAAGAGCTTTTCATTATGTTGGAGTTAATTTTTTACCATTGTCAACTTATATTCTTATGAGTATAGTATAATTTTTGGCAAAGTGGTATTTTGGAAAGTTACATATAGAATATAGAAAAGTAGTATTTGCTTTGGATTCTAGGAGGCGTGGGTTCTAATTTTGTTCTAGATAACACATCTCAGATCTCACAGCTTGTTTCCTTATCTATAAAAGGAGGCTGATGAAACCTGCTTGCCTCACAGGGTTGCTAAAGGTATTAGATAAAACTGGTTGGCAGCATATGCCAGCCCTACTACTGTAGGAAAGGGCTATCAAAGGATCAAGCAGGGAATGCTTTCATGCCATTGTTTCTCTTCCCTGAATGTTTTTTTTCCCCATAGCCAAGTTTCTCAAAAGACTAATCTACACTCATCAGCTTCACTTTTAATCTCTCACTTTTTCAAAATGTCAGTAGTATTCAGTATTAATATTGTCATGACTGTGTAAATGTTCTTCAGTATGAGTCAGGCAATCATTACTATGAGTATATTTTCTTTCTTGAACAGCTTCCCATCCCCCGTTGGAATGATAATTGCTTTATTTTCCTGTTCACTTTGTTTGCTATTGTGTCTGTCACTAATTCTTTCCCAGACACTTCAGTAGAACTGTAAAATTCCTCTCAATATGGTAAACACTTAGGGCTATCTATCAAATCCATTTTTAAAACCTTTTCCTTTTTCTTGGAGCTATTCCTCTGGGAGCCTTTGTCTTCCTATTCTAATCTGGACTGGTTGATCTGTAGGCCTGGCGCAAGGCTTATATCCTGTCTGTTCCTTTTCTCATTACCCTGGGAATTTCCTTTACTGCTCTTCTGTTTTGGATCATGTTTCCTGGTTCCTGTGTTTTCTTCTTTCTTGATTTATTCCCTTGTTTTGGTATAGCACATTCTCTACCACCCCACCTCCTATCCCCACTCCCCCCTAGCCCTCCAGCGCCAAATCCTCTTTTAAGGCAACTCGGTACAACACCTGTGAAGCTTTTACTCCCCTTTCAGTCCTCTGTTGGGTTGACCTCACCTCTTTTGCGCCTCCGCAGCACCCTGTCATAGCCTTGTCCATCATACGGACTGACACCTACTCTACCTGTCAGGCACTGTCTTCAACACTAGGGAGTCCAAGATTAAGAGAGTGAGGTTCTTGTTCTCAAGGGAGTTCTGAGAAATAAGTATTAATAACACCTTGGTTCTCACTGGAGACAGTACTGCCCCCTAGCGGCCTTTTTTTAAAAAAAAGTCGGAGTTGCAAAGTGTTTGGTTACCACAGTAACGGAAGAGGTACAGCTGGCATTTTGTAGCCAGGAGCCAGGAATACTCAATGTCTTATATGTCCAGCACAGCTTTAGAATATTCCGCCAGATATTCATGTATGAAAATATGTTTATAATTATTCCAAGCCTAGGACCTAATTCATTTTAAACACAAACCCAAACTGCTCTTGGCACTTTTTACATTGTCATTGCTTATGCAACAGATGGAAAACAAATTGTTGTTCATCAATGTGGGTTTATAGACATATTTTTAAAACAAGTAGCATGTATTTATTAAAAAATTAAGGATCACTTGGATGATAGATTATTTTGTAAATCATGCAGTAATAGTGAAGAAGATAATTTGTCTTGCCCTGTACATAACAGTGATGCAACTTTCTAGAGTACATATTAAAAAATATGTTGTTCATTGTGTATATGCATGTATGTATTGAAGAATAGCATACAGTACACAGCTTGATGAATTTATACACACACATACACATAAATACATGCTACTACCACCTTTACCTAGGTATACTGAGTGTCTGCATAGTTGAGAAATGTAGGATAAACTTATTTTTAAACAGTATGCTAGTTAGATTTTCAAACAATGTGCCCATTATGTTTTTATGTGTACACTAACTACAATCCTTAGACTATAGGGGGATATGAACTTGGATAGGAAAAAAATTACGTTGTTATTTTTACTAACTTCAAACTGAAATCGAGCATTTCCTTCTATTCTGAGTGCAGGAAATGGTGGTGGTATTAGCAGTACCTATAACTTTTTTTACTGCTAGAAGCCACAGATATTTTCAGTTTCAGTCGTTGCAGATACCTCACAATATTGTCAGGACTCATTATCTTCATATTACGGTAATTAGATCTGCCACTCGATGTTGTTATGTAAATCATTAATAGTCACATATACTACCTATACAATTTTTAATAATTGTAGTTTTAAATTTTATTTTAAAACATTCTGAATTCTAGAGTGAGCAAAGCTAATGTGTAATGGAAATCACATGAATGATTGCTTTTTGTAGAGAAGATTGACTGAGAAAGGGGCACAAGAGGACTTTTTGGGGTGATGGAAATGTCCCATGTGTCCTGGTATATTATTTGTCAAAGGTGATTGAATGCTAAACTTAAGATTTACATTTCATTGTATGTAAATTGTACCTGAATTTAAAAACAAATACATGAAAAAATATTCTGAAAAGGGTCCATTCTACGAAACCTCTGGTAACAAAAATGGTTAAGAACCCTTTCTTGAGACAGTCATGTTGCCTTTGCCTTTCTCCTTTGAGTGCCTTCTTTCTCTCAGTTGCTTTTGCTGTTCATTTCCTTTTTCTTATAAAAGCGTTCTTACTTTTTAGAGCTAAGGGAAGTCAGAAAAGAAAAATAACAGCTATGAAAGATTCTTTTCTTGGCTTATGTGCCTACATATAAGCCAAGTCTCTCGAAGCCAATAAAAGCTATGATCATTCTAACATAGCTACGTACGTGCTCACACTTCCAAGAAATTTCTAAAAGCTAATTTGTAGATGATTTCATAATGGAATAATTTTTCTCATATCCAAAGATTAGAAGAAAATAAAATAGAAATAAGCATCAAGGAAGTAAGGCAAAAGAAAAATTAATATTAATGACAATCTATTCTAGATTTTTTTTCCCCCAGAAATTACATCCAGGTATCTTTGATGGAGTGTGATGAAAATTCTAAGTCCAAATATATTTACTTTTATAAAATTCATAGTAGTACAAACATCAAATATTAGCCAATGTTTATTTTAAAACACGACAGTGCTTGAAGATGTTAAACAGAGTGGTAGATAATATAGAGAACAAACATTAGGCTTTCTTTTGGGGGCACATAGTGTTAAGACGACTCATAATACAACTCTCGTTGTGTATCATCTTATAACAGTTTTGCTCTACTGTTGCAATGTTGTCAGTCTTTTTATTTATCTGGATTAACAGGACACTTGTTTTAATAGATGACAAAGTATTGTAAGAAAGATTGAGCTAAGGTGAATTGTCCTAACGGATGTTTGTCCAGGTAGCATCTACTTGCCTTTTTATGATTTGGTGTTAGATAAAAAACCTAAAATACTGTTTGGCGGTTTCTTTGCAGCCTCTCATGTGGAAAATTTGAAATGCAGAGGAGAAACAGTAGCTAAGCAGATGAGTGAAGCCATGAAGGTAAGAGCTACGTACTAAAAAATTATAAAATGAACAAAATGTGTAGGTAGGTATTTGCTTTTAACCCCACATGTGTTTTAGTTTACTGTAATAGGAAATCTCAATACTCTTTTAAATAGATCTTTAATGAATTTATTAAGCAGCAGTGGCACTTGGAATAACTACCATTTATTAGGTACCTACTATGTGCCGGTATTATACCTGGCTTCTTTAAAAGTTGGTTATATTTTTGAGTTCTGAGAGCAGTCCAACAGTTTTGGATAATAATACCAGCTGATATTTCATGAGCATTTAGTATAGGTCAGGAATCATCTAACTGCTTTTCATATATTACTTCATTTAATCCTTACAATAACTCTATGAGATAGGTACTGCTATTTTCCTATTTTACAAATGAGGAAACTGAGGCACAGACTAATTAGATTGTCTGAGTAAATAATTCAGCCAGGATTTAACCCTGGTAGTTTGGCTCCAGAGCCTGTACTCTTTTTTTTTTTTTTTTAATTCCATTTTTTATTTTTGTTTTTTTCTTAAAGATTTTATTGGGGCATTGGGGAAAGGGAACAGCCAAGTTGTTGTCCTTCAGTCTTAGTTGTGGAGGGTGCAGCTCGCTCAGCTCCAAGTCCAGTCACCATCCGACTGCCCACAGGCAGCTTGAGCTCAGTTCAAGGTGCCGTGTTCAATCTTAGTTGTGGGTGGACGTGGCCCACCATCACATGTGGGAGTTGAACCAGAAACCTTGTTGCTAAGAGCGCATGCTCTAACCACTGAGCCATCCGGCTGCCCATTGGTAGCTCAGGGCAGCTCAGCTCAAGATCCGTGTTCAATCTTAGTTGCAGGTAGGCATAGCCCACCATCCCATGTGGGAGTTGAACTGGCAACCTTGTTAGGAGCACGTGCTCTCACAACTGGGCCATCCTGCCACCTGTTGGCAGCTCAGAGGCAACTCAGCTTGGGTGCAGCTCGCTGGCCCATGTGGAAATTGAACCGGCGACCTGGTTGCTCAGAGCTCGCGCTCTTAACCAACTGAGCCACTTGGCCGGCCCCCAGAACCTATATGCTTAACCACTATTTTATACTGCATATCAAATTAGAGTCTTAATATTATTATAACAAAAATGTGTATATTCCTTGCATTTATTTTACAGAAACAGGAAAACGTTTGTATTTCTAGCACTGTATATGAAAATTATTTTTAAATTCCATCATAATCTCCCTTGATCTTAAAATTTCTATAATGTTGTTTTGTGGTTTGTATTGAGTCCATGATTTCCTGGTGCTGATGATTCCTTCATAGCCTGTTCTTGATCAGGAGGTGACGAACTGGCAGGTGGGCTGTGCTGAGACCCAGCCCACCACTTGTTCTTGCAAATAAAACTTCATTGGAATACAGTCATGTCCATTCATTTTCTTACTGTCTGTGGCTTCTTTCCAGTGAAAGAGTTGAATAATCGTAAGAGAGATGTAAGGCCCTCCCACCCCCACCCCAGCCTAAAATATTTACTATCAATACATAGCCCTTTACAGGAAAAGTGTGCTGATTCCCTGCTCTTGATGATGATTAAGATTTCTAAAATACTTAGTAGCCTAAAATGTGGAATTTCAGACCTTAAAGCCTTAGCCCTGCAAGTCTGTTACCTCCTCTACTACCCAAGCTTTATTTCACTACCAGGCATTTGGAGGAATAGAACATATCTGTTCAGTCTTAGCTTTTAATTACAATTCCTCAGCTAAAACTAGTATTTTAAGGGAAAGTTTAATATCCATGACCCAAAAAATTAGGTCTTAGAAAAAGCCTTCACCCGAAGAATTAAATTTGAGAGTGTTGTGTCTATCTCTGTATGTGTGTGTATTTCAACCTGAGACTAACGTGGAGCATTACTGTTGTTTGTTTACTTTTGTAAGTCCCTGCCTGCATTAATTGAACAAGGAGACGGATTTTCCCAAGTTTTAAAGATGCAGCCTATTATCCATCTCCAGAGAATCCATCAAGAAGTCTTTTCCAGTTGTTCTAGGAAACCAGATGTTAAACCTGAGAACTTGATAACACAAATAGAAACCACACCAACAGAGACTTCTCCCAGGAAAGCTACTGACATAGTACTGAAAAGAAAGCAAACTAAAGACTGCCCCCAGAGAAAATGGTATCCATTGCGGCCAAAGAGAATTAATCTTGATACGTAAGTTCTTTTTCTTGATCCTGGGAGTCAAAATTAAGCACTGTCAACATTTATATTACAGTCTAATGCCCAGAAAGGACTTCATTTAAAACAACAAGTAACTCCTTAGTGATTTCTGTATACAACTATAGTAGCTCTGTGCTGGGATATGATGTAATATTGTATTTCTTTCCTCACCATTTCATCTATAGTCGATGAAAATCATATTTTAAAAAGGATGGCACAAAGCCCATCATTGGGTATTAAGAGTGCAAACTTTGGCTGTTTTTAAATGCCATCAACTCTTGGTTGCCTTACAGCTTTTGTGGAATTTCATGAATTTTTCCGGATATACATCTTTCTTTAAAAAAGAGCTGTGCAACAGTTTAAGTGTTGAAATGAATCACCAGTTCTGCACAGGAACAAATGCAGTTTCTTTGGTTTTTTTCCAGTGCAGTTTAATTTATTGAATTAATGTGCAGATGAGCAAGACTGCCTTTCACTTTGTCACTCCAAATTCAGCAAATTTGGATTTGTGGTATTAATTTTAGGAGGTTTTTGTTTGTGTTTTTGTTTTTTTAGTTTCAGGTGTATGAAACAATGTAATAGTTAGACACTTCACCCAGCAATTTTGTTTTTGTTTTGTTTCATAAGACTAAGAAAGCTATTACTTGTGTAAGACTTTCTCTTAGAAATAAAAATTGGCATGTAGCCAGTGTTTCTTGCCCACACATTTGTTTTCCATAGACTTTTTAACTTTTACACATAATTTGACTTGGGACTAATGGTTTCTTTTCAAGATTTCTCATTGTTTCTTTGTAGATGATTCCAGCTCAAAAAATACATATATATCAGATTAATACATTAACAAATTGTCATTGTGGAACAAATAGAGATGTTAACTATTTTACATTTAAAGATGTTTCTATGTCAAGGATGTGATCATTGGTAGAAGTCTGAGAAAGCTATATTACCCATACTTCTAACGTTTAACTACAGCTTCTTATAGCTCTTATTGTGTCTCTCATTCACATTAATACAGTGTAGGCAGGACCATCTAACTTAACAAGTGTTTCCCCTTTTGATGACTGTATAACTTCATTCATTTGCAGAGGAATTTACTAATCATGAGATTGGAAAAGCTGTAGTTCTCTTTTACTAATTATAAATGTCTAAGTGTGACAGAAAGTCTGTCGCAAAAAACTTACAAAGACACTTTATTGCATTCTGTATTTTAATGTTACAGTTTGGGATCTGTATATTTGTATAAAGCAGTATGTTTTTTATTAAAATAATGTACAGACTGAAATCTTGATACAGTGTGTTTTTAAGAGTTGTCTTAGGCATTCTTGAGCTCAGCTTTGGTTGGATGGGAGGCCAGCACTTTGCATTTCAGAACATACTAAATTTCACTTTTAAATTGTGTTGAGGCTACAGGATATTGCTATTCAAAGACAGTATTATTTCATATTACAAAATTCTGTAAAATTCCCTCCAAAAGCCTGCAAACCAAAGAATTGTTAATTCTTCTAGGTTAGATAATTGCATTGTGATTATAAAATATTTACTTTTTTAAAGAGATACATAGTGATATACATAGAGTTTAATGGACTTGATGTCTTGGATTTGCTATGAAATATGTCAGCAAAGAAAAAAAGGAATGGAATAGATGAGGCAAATTGTGGCAAAAACCTTGATAATGTTGCATTTGTGTAATGGATATGTACTTTCTACTCTTGTATCTGTTTGGAAATTTTTATAATAAAAATTTTATTTTAAAACCCCCAGACAGATAGCTGAAGCTTGAAATCCCTCGAGATCCCAAAGTTTCACTCCACAGTTGTAGCAGAGGCTCAGCTCAAGTCGTTGTCTTCAATCTAGTTGCAGGGAGTGCAGCTCTCTGGCCCATGTGGGAATCGAACTGGCAGCCTTGTTGTTCAGAGCACGCATTCTAATCAGCTGAGCCACACCCGGCCACCACTACATTTTTAAGAAGAGAAATTGTCTGCATAGGCTAAGCTCAGCTAAGGTAAGCTAGCTAGCTATGATAAAAAATAAGAAAGTCTGTAGTTGTAGGGAATGTTGAAGGAAAAAATAGAAAATCATATGTTACCCTCCCTATGGTAAAGGCAGATTGGACAGAACCTTAAAATTTAATTTCTATGAGAACCAAAACAAACCCAAAAAAACACAACACAAGAAGGTCAAATCTAGTTCCATGGGAGCTAGCTTCTAAAATCAGTGAAGAGAAATCTGTGTTTTCCAAACTTCAGCCATTAGAAACTGTATTAGTCTGCTTGAGTTTCTTTAACAAAAAGACCACAGCCTAGGTGGCTTAAACAACAGAAATTTAATTTCTCACGGTTCTAGACACTTGGAAGTCCATGATCAAGGTGCTGGCATATTTGGCCGCTGGCGAGGGTCCTCTTCATTTCGTTGGCAACGGGAGGAGGGAGTCCTGGTGTCGCTTTTTATAAGGACATTAATCCTACTGGATCAGGACCCCATTCATATGACTTATTCAACTTTAATGACTTCCTTAGAAGCTCCGTCTCCAAATACAGCCACACTAGGGGTTAGGGCTTCAACATGGATTTTGAGGGGACACAAACATTCAGTTCATTAACATTAACAACAGACATCTTATCCTAGACCTCTGTGCCTGCATCTTTATGGCTTGGGCTGCATAGAGCACAAAGTTAATAAAATCAAACTTTTTTATTTGCTTTAAAGCATAGCTATCTCTAAGACTGAGTTGGTTTGACTTCTGTCGAAGACCTTGCTTTTCCCTTCACTCATTTATCTGTTTAACAAATACACATTAGGCATCTACTCAGTTCAAAAGTCGGAGAGGCTCAGAGCATCGTGTGAGCCAGATCTTCGATTTCAGATTTCTGCTCACCATTCAGTTAAATAGCATTGGGCAAGTTACCCGACCTCTGCATGCTGCACTTTTCTCACTTGTAAGATGGTGATGGTAATACCTACCTCGTAGCATGATTGTGAGAAGTAAATAAGTTCATAATATAAAGTCCTTAGACTAGTGCTTGGCACTTAGCGATCATAGTGAGCATTCTATAAAGCACTATTATTGGTGTGATAGGGGAAGTGAAAACACTCCTAGGATAAGCATTGTCTTCAAGAAGCTCATATTCTAGTGAGAGTGAGCGTGTGAACGCCAATCCTACAATGTAGGAAATGCATTATGGATACATGTGTGGGTACCTGGGGAGAAGTCATGGAATTGTGGAGGAGGTGACATGTGAGCAGTCTTGAATATTTTAGGCAAATAATCGGGGAGGAAGATTCCTGGCAGTGTTGAGAGACTTTGTGAAAGCAGGTGGCTGTGAGAGAGCATGGTGGGCTGGTGGACCATCAGGCAAGTCTATATATGGGTCTTGTCTAAAGAGACTGCTACCGGTGAAGGGATAGGCAGGTCAGCTCTTGAGAACTTTGTCCTTCTTGGAACTGGTTATAAGCAGCTGTTAACTCCCACAGGGGAGGGGAACAGAAGCGGAAATTTATTGGATCCATTTTGCTCCTGAGAATTGAAGACATGTCCACACAGCAACTTGTACATGAATGTTTATAGCAGCAACTCCAGTGTCTGTCAACTGAGGGATGGATAAATAAAATGTGGTATATCCAATCAAAGGAATATTATTTGCCAATAGGTATGACACATGTTACAATGCGGATGAAACTTGAAAACATCCCAACTGACAAAAGTCACAGAGTCTTTGGTATGACTTCATTTCTATGAAATGTCCAAAAGAGGCAATTCTATAGAAACAGAAGATAGATTAGTGGTTTTCTAGGGTTGGAGGAAGGGAGAAGGTGGGAGGAACGGGGAGTGACTGGTAATGGGTATGGGCTTTCTCTCAGGGCTGATGAAAATGCTCTAAAATTGAGAGTGCTGATGGATGCTTGGTGAATATACTAAAACCACTGAACTGTGTATTTGAAATCGGTGAATTGTATGGTGTGCGAAGAATATCTCAATTTAAAAAGAGAGTAAAGAAATAGAAATAGTACAAGAAACATTCCCAGATTCTAGGACTCCAGATGAAGAAAGCCCTCTGAGTATTCAGCACAAGGAATGAACAAGACAAGAAACAATGAAGTGAAATCGCCCCTACCAAGGCACATCACTGAGAAATGTTAAAGAGAAGTTCCTAGGGGCCGGCCGAGTGCCGCGATGGTTAAGAGCTGGCTTGGGGCCGGCCGAGTGCCGCGATGGTTAAGAGTTGGCTTGGGGCCGGCCGAGTGGCGCGATGGTTAAGAGTTGGCTTGGGGCCGGCCGAGTGGCGCGATGGTTAAGAACTGGCTTGGGATGCCAGAAGGCCCTGGTTCAGATCCCACATATGAGGGGGCCAGTGACACTGCCCTCTGCAGCTAAGATGCTGAACAACAGCTCAACCTGGAGCTGGGCTGCCATGAGTCGCCAGAGACGGCGTAGGCTGCAGCCCCTGCTGCAGTGGGTTGCCATGGGCTACTGTATGTAGCCAGCAGCCAGCGTGAGCGGCCAGCAGCCGCAGTGAGCAGCCGTCTAGAAGCCGGCGACTGATGTGCCTCGCCTGGGAGGAGCACAATGATGGTGCCAACTTGGGCCAGTGAAGCAACGTCCTCCACAACTAGACTGAAGAACAAAACGACAGCAACTTGTCTGTTCCCCTTCCCCCAATTCCCCAGCTCTGTTCCCATCCCCCCAATGCCCCAGTAAAAATCTTTAAAAAAAAAAAAAAGAGAGAAGTTCCTAAAAGCTTCTACCAGGGGGAAAAGATCATAACAGAGAATTGGAATGGCATCAAATGACTGAACAGCAATCCTGAATCTAGAAGTCTACTCTAGAGCAATAGAATCTGGAAATGCTCAGTATAAATTATTTGCAACTTAGGATTCTATACAAGCTACCAATCAAGTGTGAGGTTAGCCAAAAGCCATTCTCAGACATGCCACATCTAAAATGAAATAAAATAATAAAATACAAATTTACCTTTAAAGCACCCTATATGGGGATACTACTAGAGGATGTGCTCTACTACAAAGGGGAAACCAAAAAAGAGGTAGGTACTGGATCTGGAAAAGAGAGGCTTCAAGATAGCGGCAAACTCAGGTCCACAGGACACTATTCAGATTGGGAGAAGAGTCCAGTCAGTTCAGATGGGAATACAAATACATAGGCCTCCGAAAGATATTTTCAGGAGGAGAAAATGGTACTGACAACATGAGTGATAGTTTTACCTGGACAATTGTATCAAGGAGAGTATTCAAATGTTCACAGAAACCAAAGACTCGGACATTTATTCATTACATCCAAGAAGAAAGTTGTACACGAGAGGTAATCGTAGTTACAGATTGGCTCCACAGTGAACAGTCTTTATAGAGACATAGTAATGAGCACCCCCAATCTGAGTTCAACAAAAAGCGGGGACAGTTAACATTGGAGGGTAAGAGGACTGGGAAGTAATGATGACTACAGCACGGGCACTGGCCAGTCGGAAGGACAGTGGTCAGAGCACTGGAGCGGGGCCTGGGGGGTCCCCGTCGCTGCTTGGTCCTGCAGAAGTCCAGGGCGTCCCAGGATAGGAACTGGAGCGGTCGGCGAGGGGGGGGGCTGGGGGGGGCGCTGAGGAAGCTTCTGTCCCAACCAGTCCAGGAGTTCACTTTGCAATACCGAAACAGCTCAGATGGTTCTAGATGTGTGCCATCTGAATATCAGCCATGAAACGGGAAAGTTGGACAGTGAAACCTTCACCACAACTGAAAGTGCATCATCTCTAGCTGAATCAAGAGACAGCATAATACAGATATTATTCAGGACATACCAGAAAAAAACAGCTAAGAGTAGAAAGTGGTTAACTTTGTGGATGAACCTAGGTAAGGGAAGTGGGCCAAGGGCCTGATTTTTGTTGTTATAATAAGCCTTATAGGTTTGATACTTTAAATTATGTGCCTAAAATAAATTTGATGTATAAATGATTTAAAAACGAATACAAATGCAAATGAATATGAATTATCTTCAGTACTATCTTTACATCATTGAAAATGAAGATATAAATTATATGCCAGAGGCTTTTGCAGGGTTTAAGTTCCATTACCATGGTGTATTTCAGATAATATTTGTAGTCTCTCTCTTTGGCCGAGAATTTTAGTTTAGGTTTTTTGGAAGTCTTTTTTTTTTCTTCCCCTAACCATTTGTTTTGCAAATAGATTCTATTATCAAGCCTCTGTGTACAAAAATGAAGAAAAAATATTTTTCTAGAGAACCATGGAAGGGTTTGTGGGGATTTTATATGAAAAAAATGT